CTTAACCATGGTTTATACTACAATTGTATGGTAAAGGTAAAAATGGTAAAGGTAAAAATGCTCCATGCTTATTACATAAAATATTTGTAACAATCAGTATTATACAAGTATAATTAAAACTTACTATTTTTGACCGTGCTGCTGCTCTGTTGGCATACAATACTGAACGTTCCCTTGGGAATGATATCGGGCATATTCTTAGTCCCACTGTATATGAACTAACAGCTTCCTCATATTGTCCTGCCTTAAAACTTGAGTTACCTTTTTCTTTATGTATTAAGCTTTCTTTTTTCTTCTCCTGAAAAGATAGTTCAGTTTCTTGTATTTCTAAATGAAGATGCATGACAGCTGACTATAACATATGACCAATATGAAACACATGAAATAATTATTATTATGAAAAGAGATGAATTAATAATTCAAATTCTTCTTTCACATCCTTTCCATATCACCCCACCACACTCCTTTTCTTAAACATTTCTATCTCATTCTCTCAGCTTTTGGTAAATGTCAGAAAACTAAATAGAAAAATTAGTAATATTTAGTAGTTTTATCCTAACTCATGTCATAAATTCAATACTAACTTCTTTTTCTTCTTCTGTCAAACTGAGCTCAAGATCCTTTAAATATTCCTCATCTACAAAATCCTCCTCTTCCTCTTCCTCTTCCTTGTCTGCCTTGATTCCAAAATCTTCCAGGCTCTCTGATTCCCCCGACTTTGTGTCAGGTGTAAGGCTCGCATCACTTTTGCTCTTTTCTTGACAATCTGGCTCTGTCATGGGAATGTCTGGACACAACTCATCTGAAGATTCACTTCCTCCATCAGAACATTCTCTGGTAGAGGCTTGACTGAGATAAAATAACATTGCATTTTTAGGTAAAGGTGTAAGTATTTTTAAGATAACAAAAATTATCAACATTCTTCAGCAAAACAATAAATGAAAAAATATATGTGAGCAAAATGAAAATGCATTAACTTTGTCACAAATATCCTATGGGATAAGTTTTTAAATATCACACCTTTTCTCTCCTTCTTGTGCAGGGCTACTGTCATCATTGTCTGCAGAATGGAACGAGTCATCACTTGCACTACTCACTGGAGTGTCAGGACGGGAAACTTGTTCCTCTTCTTTATCACTAAGATTTGTTAGTGACATTGCTTTTACTTCTTCACTATTTTTGTTTTTATTCTTCTTAGCAGTATCACAACTTATGTTTCTGAAACAATATATTGAATAATGTCATAAGCCTGTGAGTGAGTGAGTGAAAGAAGAGTGAGTGTGAGTGAATGATTGTGCATGCATGTGTCATATAGGTCTACATGTAATTGTGCAAGTGAACATGCCTGAATGTGTGAATGCATATATGTAATCCCATGTGATAAGTCAATGTAGACTATCCAGATATAGTCCATGACAACGAGCTATGGCAATGACATTGACAGTAAGGTTTGTATGGCATCAGGTAATTGTTACTCTTCCTACTACTCAGAGCTCAAAGAAAAGACAAACAAGTGTCCACATTCTAACAAGACAGAGCTTGTAGACCTGAGCCTGTATATTCTAAAGCAGCTATATAGTGGTAATTGCAGCCCATGATAATTAAAACATGCATTACAGTACCATAAGGATTTTACGATTTAAAGTCATTTCCCAACAACTGACTTCTTAATTCCCATCTATATGCAGAGTTCTTATTTCTTATATTTTGTGCTAACGGGCTTAATCATAGTTGCAGACTGCACATCGTAACATTTCACGACTGAATATATGCCCTGACCCTATATACGTCATCATAAAATATCCATAAATACTCAACACTGAGTAGTTATTGACATCACTCTTATCTCTTCAGTTATAACATACTTCAGCTTCAGACTTACAAAATCTTACCCATTATATCATAATAAAACCTTCGAAATGGGAAAAGTCAAGCATTAATTACCAGAAACACAACGCCTTCCAAGAGTTTCCAGACTCCACGGAAGCGCGACCCACACAAACACCACCCGATTTTAACTCCGTGTCGCGCAGCGGAGAAATTGGGGTTACTCTAGAAAAATCATAGTATTAATGCAATTATGATAATACTTCTTTTTAAATCATAGTATTGATGCAATTAAGATAATTTTTTTATTATTGTTGAATTATTGTCATTATCATTATTTTATTGCCATCTTTAATATCTTCATTATTATCATTAAAGCCAGCAGTAATAGCAGTAGTAGAAGTACTGTTAGTTATCATAACTACTGTCGTTACCAATGCCATCATTATCATTATCAGTATTATTATCTTTATCATTGTTACGACAATTTTTTTCTATTATTGTTATTGTTATCGTTATCATCATCAAAAGGTCATCAATTTTTATCATTACTATTAATGTCTTATCATTGACATTACAGTTGTTATTATTATCAATGTTATTATCATTATTACTGTCATCTTTATTATTATTATTACTTTTACTATCACTATCATTACTGTTATCAATATCATTTTTATTATTATTATTTTCATTATTATTATTAGTGGTAGTAGAAGTAGTAGTAGTAGTAGAAGCAGTAGCATTATCATTATTATTATTATTATTATTATTATTATTATTATCATTACTATTATTATTATTATTATTATTATTATTATTATTATTATTGTTATTATTATTATTATTATCATTATTATTATTATTATTATTATTATTATTA